CTAAACCAGGTGATTTCTGTCTGTAATCTAAACCAGGTGATTTCTGTCTGTAGTCTAAACCAGAGGATTTCTGTCTGTAGTCTAAACCAGAGGATTTCTGTCTGTAATCTAAACCAGGTGATTTCTGTCTGTAATCTAAACCAGGTGATTTCTGTCTGTAGTCTAAACCAGAGGATTTCTGTCTGTAGTCTAAACCAGAGGATTTCTGTCTGTAGTCTAAACCAGGTGATTTCTGTCTGTAGTCTAAACCAGGTGATTTCTGTCTGTAGTCTAAACCAGATGATTTCTGTCTGTAGTCTAAACCAGAGGATTTCTGTCTGTAGTCTAAACCAGGTGATTTCTGTCTGTAATCTAAACCAGGTGATTTCTGTCTGTAGTCTAAACCAGGTGATTTCTGTCTGTAGTCTAAACCAGGTGATTTCTGTCTGTAATCTAAACCAAAGGATTTCTGTCTGTAGTCTAAACCAGAAGATTTCTGTCTGTAGTCTAAACCAGGTGATTTCTGTCTGTAGTCTAAACCAGAGGATTTCTGTCTGTAGTCTAAACCAGGTGATTTCTGTCTGTAATCTAAACCAGGTGATTTCTGTCTGTAGTCTAAACCAGGTGATTTCTGTCTGTAGTCTAAACCAGGTGATTTCTGTCTGTAATCTAAACCAGATGATTTCTGTCTGTAGTCTAAACCAGATGATTTCTGTCTGTAATCTAAACCAGGTGATTTCTGTCTGTAGTCTAAACCAGATGATTTCTGTCTGTAGTCTAAACCAGGTGATTTCTGTCTGTAGTCTAAACCAGGTGATTTCTGTCTGTAGTCTAAACCAGACAATTTCTGTCTGTAGTCTAAACCAGGTGATTTCTGTCTGTAGTCTAAACCAGATGATTTCTGTCTGTAATCTAAACCAGATGATTTCTGTCTGTAATCTAAACCAGAGGATTTCTGTCTGTAGTCTAAACCAGATGATTTCTGTCTGTAATCTAAACCAGAGGATTTCTGTCTGTAGTCTAAACCAGAGGATTTCTGTCTGTAGTCTAAACCAGATGATTTCTGTCTGTAGTCTAAACGAGGTGATTTCTGTCTGTAGTCTAAACCAGGTGATTTCTGTCTGTAATCTAAACCAGAGGATTTCTGTCTGTAGTCTAAACCAGATGATTTCTGTCTGTAGTCTAAACCAGATTATTTCTGTCTGTAGTCTAAACCAGATGATTTCTGTCTGTAGTCTAAACCAGATGATTTCTGTCTGTAGTCTAAACCAGAGGATTTCTGTCTGTAATCTAAACCAGATGATTTCTGTCTGTAGTCTAAACCAGAGGATTTCTGTCTGTAGTCTAAACCAGGTGATTTAAAGGGAACATTAGAAACAGCTCCCTTTAAGGTTGAGCTGTTGTGGAGGTGTGAATGTGTATGTTTGAGTAAGTGGGTTAATCACTGTCCTCTGAAAGCCTGGAAAAGTGTATGCATGGTTCATATCAGAAAAGAGAAAGCAGAAAAGAAAGAGAACAAATATATGCATTCTGGCAATGTATGCACAGATGAAAAGTGCTCAGAAAGGGAAAACGCAGAGAGGCATAAACTTAATTCCCTGAGCGAAGGTTGCCCTGCACTCATGCAGGCAATGACAAAAAAGATCCAATTAATAAATAAAGGTTAGCTTTTGTGCAGAGCTTTTTGACAGCACCAGACAGTTGTGCGAGGAGCAAGAGAAACGCAAGACGCTTGTTAACTCCGACCCAAATCATAAGAGATGGAATGAGCAGTTAACACACGGAGCAGATTGAAAGCCTGTGTGACCTACATAGTTTTGAAAAGCAGCCGTACATCACATTGCTCTTCTGCCTAACACGATGTGGCACGTCTCTTTGGTTTGTGGTGAACATTTCATTCAGAATAGTTTCTTTGTGGCATGTAAAATACGGCTGTGTTCACTATGTGTGGAGGGCTCTTTTCATGGTGTCATGGATTTATGAGTTCTGGTAGTGAAGAGTAAGAACAGAAGGCATGAAGAACTGTGGTGCATGTTACTGATATTAGTAGGAGAATAATAATAATAAGTGCTACAGATTAAAGTTAAATACAATGAAACCGAAATATTTTATATTAATTTTGGCTATAAATGGGCCGTATGAAGACTAATAAACTAACACTAATAGTGCGCAAAGGTGATTTTTCCCTCTGGATTGATAAACACACCCCTTAATGTTTTTTTATAAGTACAATTACAACTAAACCACAAGAAGAAGTTTCTTTTCTTACAGATAAAGCACAAGTAATGGATGCTGATCAAGACGTTTAGAACACTAGTCACTTTATCTGCTACTATCACTACATTATTACATATTCCTTTCATTTGTTCTGAAAATTCACTATCAGTTATTGGACTCATTTCACCAACGTAACTGGCAACCCTTTGGCAACCCACCCTCATACATTTTGATTGGATACTCACTTTGAGAAACTGTTGTTTTAAAAATGTGGCCATCATGTGCTTTGCAAGAAAAAAAATCTGCATCACAGTCAACAAAAACGTTTTATTTGGTTACCTTTTACGTTGACCTTGTGCCTGTGGCCAAGACATTGTCATTTTAAAGTAAAATATGTCTCATTTTTATTTTATGGTCATAATGTGGCTCAAGGTGAGGGCGGGCAGAGCCCCTCTCCTGGACTTGTCTGTGTCCAGTCCAGGGCCGACATCCCCCAATGCCAAAGTAGCTTGTGCCAGCTCGGCTCTTGCCCATCACTCACCCTGGACCGGTCAAGGACATGGAACTATCTGGGACTTACCTGTTTTGGGCTTTGGGGCAAGTTAAAGCAGCCGGTGGCTTCAGAGCGGCTTTTGATGCTGGAATAATTCACACGGACGTAATGCTAGATTTTCACAAACAAAAGCAGCAAAACATCAACAACTTCTGGTGGGGTACACACTTAAGTGCTTTCTGCTGTCTCTGATGAATTATGAATACTGTAAAAAAGAGTTTGATAAACTGCTCATATATCGTGAAATGACAATTGCTTTACACAGTAGAGGAATGTTCTCTCAAGTCAAGTATTCCCAAAAAGCCTGGAGCAAATCCACCGAAGCAGCAGCAAGTTTACACTGAAATTAAATAAAAAGCAGTTACATTCATACTGTAATGCATTTGTTTCTTTCAATAAACGAGACCCTTTGGGGCGGTTCAAGGGGTTGGCTTGAAAGTGGTGGAAAGAACCTGGACTTGTGTTTTTTGATGACATGTGTTACTGTATGTAAAGAGGAAAATGACCCTCTTCACTTTTTTATTTGTGACCAGGAGGATTTAATTTGTTAAATTATAAAATAAAAGAAGCACAAATACAAGATGAATACTCCTAAACTACAAATATGGAATGTTTTAAAAACAGTTGTTTGAAATATTTATAGGACATGAAAGTCAAAGCTGTGGACTTTACTGTGAGGAGACTCAGATTTGAGGTAGACAACTTTGAAAAACTGCATGAAGCTCTATTTCTGTGTCTGGAATGAGCCATCTTTTGAAAATCTACCATTTAATCTAAACTATTGGACTATTTGCACCAAAAGTTTGATTGATAGATAAATACTTTATTGATGTCCCGTAGGAGAAATTCAGGCCCAGAAGCAGCAGAAACACATCCATCCACACAAACAAAACTCAAACCTAGAATACATTTAATTCAATTAATCTTTGTATAGCCCTAAATCACAACAGTAGTTATCTCAGAGGGCTTAACAAAACCGTTGAAATTGCCAACACAGATCAGACACAAAAAACACATAGGTACTGGTCCATAGGAGGAGTTGACCAATAACCTTAAGTGTACATCATTAAAAAAGTAGCTAATAGTAGTCATAACACTTTAGCTCACAGGTATTTTGAAACAGGTGTGCATATTTTATATTTAATCATTCAGATAAAACCACATTTATTTTCCATTCACATGTTTGAATGGGAGAAGGAAGAAGCAAAAGCTTATTTGGTCCTACCCCTCATTTACAAAATACATGACAAAATGATACAAGGGACATGATGCATGGTTCCGACAAAGGTTTCTTTACTTATTTCTGTAAAAGATTTTTGTCTGTTCACAAGGCTACACATTCTATTTTCCTGAATAGAACGTGTCCATCAACATGTAGACACGTATTTACCTACATTTAGCTAATTTACAGGTCTTATCTGTGGACACGTAGGTATTGGTCCATGGGGGGAGTTGACCAATGTCCATAAGTGTACGTTATTAAAAAAGTAGCTAATTATAGTAGTAAAATGCAACAGCACATTAGCTCACAGCAGCAAACTAGCAGTTTCCTAGCTTGTTTCTCACATGGCAAAAAAAGGATTCGGAGCAGATTCTGGTGGTGAAGCCGCATGAGACACACATTCAATAAGATGTAAATACACAGATAAATTAGTCTGTCATGCCTGTCTGTATGATAAATATACAGCTTTAACATGTCACTCCTGTCTTCTTGCCTTCCAGACACCCGAAGCTGTGACTGCGATGGACATTTGGACCACTTTGCACTCCATTGAACTACCAAAGAACTGCAAACTGCACTCCTTACCTGCACGGAAGAACAATATTTGAACCAATCCTCATCCCAAGAATCACTACAGACATTCCTCTCAGATTCAGTAAAGAGCAAGTGGTGGACCATGTAACACTCGACCTTCAGTGGCAATACCTCATGTGCACTTCAGAAGATGTCAAACCTGCTCTGAAGCATCTCTCTTGAAGTTCGTTATATTTTCATGTGTAGTTCGGTCGTACTCTAGCCGTCATGGGCGATCGATGAAGGAGGGCGTTCATGCCGGGGCTGGATCTTCATGTATTGAGGAGTGCCAGTGCTGTAAAGCCATGGATTTGACTGAGATCGCCTTTAGAGCAGAAGTGTTGTGAGAGATTGCTGTGGTGGGATTGTACTGGGAGAGTTGGGCTGATAAAGCTGCTGAGCTGACAACCCCATGCTGGATCTGCAGTGAGCACGGCCAGGGAAGAGCGGAGGAGGATGTCATCAGAGGCCGAGCTACAGCCGGGTGTGAAAACCAGCCAGCGCAAGGATTCCCGCAGGATCAAGGGTATGTGATAAGTTTGCAATAAGTCATACAAAAAGCTGCAGACAATTCAAATTAAATTCAATTTCTTTTTGTAAAGCCCTGTATCACAACAGTAGTTATCTTGGAAGACTTTACAAAACTGTCAAAGATCAGAGAACAAGCACAAAAAATGCAACAATTAAAAAAACACATAGAGCAATTGGTCCATAAGGGGTGGATATATACAATGATAAAAACATTAACTTTGATAGATGCACGCGGCGTACGTGCTTGATGATTTTTTTTCCTTCCCAAACGCCATATTATGGTGGTATCAAAAGTGCAATTCAAAAAGAGTGGGTATTGCACACCAGACAGCACACAAGTTGAGTTTTGAGATGCAAGGTGAAAGGGACAATTTCAAAAACATTGCATACACTCAAAATACAATTGGATTTCTTTGGAACATCAGAATCAGAATCATTTTTATTGCCACGTAAGTAACAGGAGGTCACAGACTAGGAAATTGCTTTGGCTCAGTGCAACAGTCAAAAAGAGATAATAAAAATAAGAATAAAAAACACTTCCAAAGAATAAATTTAAATTTAAAATAGAGATACAGTTACTATTTACAATATACAAGTGCACATGGTGCACACAATGTAAGGTGACAGCAGTACAGTGAAGTAAAGTGAAGTAAAGTGACGTATGATGGGCAGTAAAGTGACTTTATAAAGGGCGGGGGACAGGTTAAGAAGTGTTCAAGAGTCCAACAGCAGAGGGGAAGAAACTGTTCTTGTGGCGGGAGGTTCTAGTCCTGATGGACCGCAGTCTCCTGCCTGAGGGGAGTGGTTGGAATAGTCCATGTGCAGGGTGAGAGGGGTCGGCTGTGATACGACCAGCCCGGCCTCGAGCTCGGGCGACGTACAGGTCCTGCAGCGATGGAAGGCTGCGGCCGATCACTTCCTCTGCAGAGCGCACAATGCGCTGTAGTCTCTGTTTGTCCCTGACTGTGGCTCCAGCGAACCACACGGTGACGGAGGAGGTGAGGATGGACTCGATGATGGCCGTGTAGAACTGCACCAACATCTGTGCAGGCAGCTTGGCTTTCCTGAGCTGCCGCAGGAAGTACATCCTCTGCTGGGCCTTCTTGATGAGGGAGCTGATGGTCGGCTCCCACTTGAGGTCCTGGGTGATGGTGGTGCCCAGGAAACGGAAGGACTCCACAGAGGTGATGGGGGAGTCCATCACGGAGGGTGGGGGTGGGGGGACAGTGCTCTTCCTGAAGTCCACAATCATCTCCACTGTCTTCTGGGCGTTCAGCTCCAGGTTGTTACCACTGCACCAGGACACCAGCCGGTCCACCTCCCTCCTGTAGGCGGACTCATCGTTGTTGGAGATGAGTCCAATGAGGGTGGTGTCGTCCGCGAACTTGATCAGCTTCACGGAGTCGTGGCTGGAGGTGCAGTGGTTGGTGTACAGGGAGAAGAGCAGGGGAGAAAGAACACAGCCCTGTGGGGATTTATAATCCGAGAGTCCGAGACATTCTTCCCCAGACGCACTCGCTGCTTCCTGTCCATCAGGAAGTCAGTGATCCACCTGCAGGTGGAATCGGGCACGTTGAGCTGGGAGAGCTTGTCCTGGAGCAGGGATGGCAGGATTGTGTTGAAGGCAGAGCTGAAGTCCACGAACATCCAAAATCCCAACAGCTTGACTTTACAAAACTGTTGAGTCACTAACAACAGTTTAACGAATCAAATAATTAGAACACCGTAAATGCAATGATAAGAAACACAAAGGTTTGCAGGGTAACCGATGTTCATAAATGTACAAGTCCATAGACCCTCCTGCATCAGCAAGGAAAACAAAAATACTAAAAAAACATGGTAGGACCTTTAGATGTTCAAAATTGTGGTGTATTTTTTTGTCCATGACGTTTCAGCCGTTCTATATGGCATATTCTGTAAAAAAAAAAAACATATATTGCTGAGAGGAGAGGGACCTAATTGCCAGAAGTCGCTCTCCGTTGTGCTGAAACAGACAAGGGAAACACCAAAACTAAACGAACCTATTTTTAGTTCGACAGTTTCACTTAGTCCCTGGTTTGTTACTGACACACGCCCACTAGACTCTCAATCGTGACCTCCTGTCCAAACCATTTTATCAGACGGTCTTATGTGGTCGTAGTCTAAACCTGATATAGACCAACATCACAGAATGGTTTGGTTATCATTATCATTGTAATTACTATCATAGTTTTTGCGACAACTCTCATTATAGAAGAGTGGACATATTGACAGTCATAATTACTGTTTATATCGGAATGATTAAAAACCCATCTACAAATCCCGTATACATGATTTCCCTCGCATGTTTTCACGTTGACGCACATATTCTCCAAACACATGCACAGTGGGAGGAAGCTCTAAATATTCTGCTTTGACGAGTGCTGATTGTAACAGGTTTCATTAGGATCTCTGTGATGAGGGCCCCGCCGCTCTGAGCTCCAGATGTAGTAACAGCCTTCCTGTGTAGCTGTGGGGTGTGTGCTGTCTGATTTAAACGTCGAGGATGGAGTAATTTACACCCTGTCGCTTTGATGAACAGCCTGAGTGATGTAACCGGATGAGACACTCTCCAAGCGTCCAGCTCGAGATGGAAATGGATTGGACCAATGTAGGAACCAGGAAATGGCGATATAAGGAATATAGGGTGATGGCTATTGCTTTATATCCCGTATCACTCATGGCTGTCTGTGAATAGAACTTCTGCTTTTACAGTCTGGTGAATGCGGTTCCCAGGGGCCAGTTGCCTAATCCAATGCGGCTATGCAGGCTGAGGTAGATAAATGACAGGGCTGGAGGAGGGACCATTGATTTGAGTTAAGTGAATGGGTGCTGTTACACGTGGCTGCTGTTCGGAGAGGGCCATCAGCCGCTGCTATCAGTCTGAAGACCACCTTGTTAATCACGAACGCCCGGGACCATTGTCACAATCAGCACAGATGCCATTTTGATCTATATAAATGGAAATGGCCCACTTTAATGGGGCAGACTGATAGTGAAGGGCTGGCGCTGTAAGCAGAGTCTGGGGTGAAGGGCAGGCTGTCAAGTGAATGTCAATGTTATTATGGACTCAACGAGTGAATCATTTACATGGAAACTTCATTAGTTTTATGTCGGTGAAAATATTTGAAAAACACACATGTCCAACCGTTGTGTTATTATAATCTGATTAACCCCTTATGGCTGCGTGCCTTACATGAAATATAATGTAATGCAAAGCCCTGGTATGAAAATGTTATGTGAAACAGACAAAAGGTGGAACCGTGAAACCAGGAACCAGGAGACTGGTCAAATCAATAACAGAGATAAATATAAGAAGAAAATAACCAGGTTCAATTCAATTCCATTTATTTTTGTGTAGTCCTAAATGACAACAGTAGTTAGAAAACTGTAGAATTTGCAAACGCAGATCAGAGAATCAAATAAACACATAGAGCCATTGATTCATAAGTGGCAGATGAAGTGCTCATAAATGGTTGCTGTACAGAAACTGTCTCGGATTCAGGATTCAATATTCTACTTTGGGGCCTAAAGGGTAAATATTTTTTTCATTTTTTTTTTATGCAATATTTTCCACTCTCAGAAAAGAACTCTTTATGTTGAACAGGTCCAATTTTGTTTCGTTCTTCAGACCGTTGGGGGAAAAAATATACTTTCTCGCTATATTCGAGCTACCGCCGTAAATCCAACAGTCTCCCAATCCCATTGACAGGAATGCTTTACATGGGTGACTCAACTCCATCTCCATAGCAACTGTTGCTCTCTCTCACAGTAATCTCTAAAGAAAAAAAATATGAGTATTTTCAAAAGCGAAGACAAACTGCAGGGAGAGAGGAGAGCGAACATTTACATTGATGCAAAAGCAAACCAATGTACACTGATATAGAAATCTTTCAGTAAAGCAATCTGAATTAACATCAAATAGTTATAAGTGTAAGTTATTCACTAATAGTCAACTCTGGATTCAAAGGTCCACTGATAGATGGGAGACGCTTTTTGCAGCTTTTATCAAACGACTTCATCACACAGATTCAACACAGGTTAAAAACAGCCAGACCATGTTGCTCTGGAAAACTCCATAACCTTTCCATTGGGTTTCATTTAGCTAGCGGGTTAGCATTGTCCATAAATATACAGCTTCTGATACCGCCCTAAAAAGTTCCTCTAAACTACCTCAACATAACTTTTTTGCATGTATTCGCTACCTTTTAACCGAAGGCAGTGTTGGTGGAGGAGAGATTAGAGTCTCAGTCAAGAGAGAGCAGTTGCAGCCGAGCTGAGCGGGCTCAACCCAACCCAATCTAACACCCCCTGCCCCCTCGCCTTACCTGTCCAGATGTGGAAGGGCCTGCCGCCATTCTCACTTGTGTCATTACCGATAGTCTTTCTCAATACTGAGTGACCACCATTATCATTATTATTAGGCTAATGCCCAAATGTGAGTCTTATAGTAATTTCCTGAAGTACAGTACACATTGTCTACATTTTTATCAAACTGATTAGTGTTTGTGAACGCACCATAAAACGTTTGATAAACACTGAAGATGTGAAAACTCCACATACTCGGTCATCGTTCCAACTGCTTCAAATGATTGTTTATTGGAGCCAAACAAAGTAACATGTATAGGATGAAATAAGCGCAGCAATATGGTGTCAAATCATTTCATCTCTGCCAAATGAATGGTGTATATAGTCTGCTGGCACTGGAGGACACTGACGGGAGCAGACAGACCAGTACTGATCCACAAACTCACATGGTTCAGAGGTTAAGTCGCCCCAATGCCTGGATCCTCAACACAAAGTTCCTAGTTGCCAAGTCCATATGACTGGAGGGGTACTTCTGAGTCTCCATCTGCTGCCATCTGCGCGCCCTGTCCCCGTTCTCGTGAGCCATCTCTGGGATCCGCCTGGAAACTGCCTGGACACTGGGTCAGGTGCTCACGGCGAGACTCGGACTAAAAACCTTTCTATTGCTGA